ACCACTCATACAAACAGTTTATCCCCAAGGACACTTGAGGGGGAGGGGGACAGGCAGGGGTTAGGAAGGTTTTAGAGGTTTCAGACAGGTGGAACCCAGCCACCCCGATTCCCAAGGGCCACTTTGACTCCAGGGGTGGTTACAGGATCAACTACCAGTTCATTCTCAAAATGCTGCTTTGAACTCAGAGGGTTGATACTTTTAATTTGTAATTTTTTGTAAAACTTTTTACAAGATAGTAAAGTATTTCACCAGAATACCAGTTTCAATCCGTCCATGGTCTGATTTTTATATAATTTAGTGGTGCTTTAGAAACTTTGTTTTGTTGTTTCTGAGCTGAACAGCTCACTCCTTTTTTGCCTGTATCTACCTAAGACCAATGTGAACCTTTGTATTTTTGCTCCTAATTTTGGACTCAGTGAAAGTGTACTGTTTACATGTACAGATGCCCCAGTCCCCGTGTGTCCTGCAAGACTCGAGGGGAAGGTGCACCTCACTAAGCTCACCTGCTCAGCAAAGCCACAACACAGAAACCTCTCACTTTTTACCTGTTTCCACCTAAAAACAAAATCGAAAAAACTACACCACAGAGAACACAGATTTGCTAAAAACAAAACAAAACAAAACTTTCCTAAGCTCAGAAAAATCTCATGTGCGTGGCGGATGGCCCACATGCCTTTGTCCTGTGGTCCATTTAGAAGCAGGGGTCAGAACAGAGACGTCCCATGGCCGCTGGGGGGGGGGGGTACGGCATGGACGCATGAAGAGGGACAGCAGCGCCGCTCTGCAGAGCTGTGGGAGGGAGCCAGTCCTCCTGGCAGCCTGGGAGCGGGACCTTCAGGGTCAAGCCACCCAGGATTTAGGGACAACCCAAGACGTTGTCATTCCTCTGGCATAACTTAGACGTGTTTTGGACGGGCACGAGTTCCCCCTCTGAAAGGAGGCTTTAAGGCTTTCCCGTGCAGCTGGACAAGCAAATCTTCAGGATTCCCCTAGAGGCAGCCGTTCATGAGGTATCACCTCTGGGGAGGGGCAGGGGGCTCCAGACGGTAAGCATGTGGCACTTAAGGCAAACAGTGGAGGGCACCAACTTTTAAAGGTGACTCTTTATTAATCAATGGCTTCACCTCTAAATTATATTTTTACAGATATGCACCTATGCAACTTAACGTGGCTCTTCTAAGCAGGTGAGGACTTCCTCCTCAATGCTCTATAAAAATTATTTGTGTTCTATATAGTGAGTTTTTCCAGTAAATGTGGCTTAATATTTTAATTCTTAGAATGTGTCTTCTCTATGTGATGCAACTAAATTCTGTTTTGTTTGTGGAATGACTAGCACAGGCCAACTCCCTCTGCCCTCACTTAACAAAAGACCAATGAGCTGTTAATCAAGCTGTATCTCCATGGTATTACTTGCTAAATGCACTGATTTCATAAGTATGTGGAATCCTTTTTCTTTTGAATCTGTATATCATATATAAGACTGAATCTACTTAATAAACACTGAATAACAAACTGAATGCTTTATTTCCACTTTGTCCTCTAAATAGCAGCACTGCCAGCTAGTTCTCTGCTTCCAAATCTAGTTTGGCATTGACATACCTTCCTACTAGTAGATTCCACTTTTCCTAGCCAGCAAGCTACACACAGAAGGTCCCCAGTAAACTTTCTTGAACAGGTGAACTTGCCATTTCTTTTGGCACCCAGCCCGTTAGAAAGGGAAGCAAAGGAACCTTCACTGGTCCCTGTCAAGCACCCAGCGCAGGCGTGCACCATGCTGAAATCTCGCAGTCTCCTTCCCAGCGAGGTGCCCTTGCCCCCACTTACGGATGAGGGAGCAAGGGCACAGTGGGCGCACCCCTCACCTAAATTAAGCCAGTGACCCAGCAAGGTCTGAAACGCAGCGGTGTCCCTGCAAACCACGCACCCTTCCCACTCCCCTCACCCCGGTGCCCAGCTCTTGAACGGACTGAGAGCAGACTTGCCCACCAGTCCCTCAGCGCTGGGTGAAGCATCCCTGGGCCCGCACCTTCTGTATTGGACAATGCCTTCCACTCAAAACCCCAGATCCCACCCTGAATGAAACAAAAGGGCTGCTTTTTCCAAAGGTTTACCTATGCACAGACTGTTTTTCATCCTACATGTATCTCTTAGGTTAAACTTTAAGGAAAACTTGCAGGAGTATGGCTGGGGACAAACCTGATTGTCACGAGTTTAAAAACAACTCTGTGTGAGTTAAAAGCATAAACATAAGTTTTACTGTTAAAATTGCATGTGTGTGTCTGTGTGTACACACACACAGAAACACATACCATATGGCAGCTGTTTTTTAAAACACTTATTTTTTGTAATGGCAGAAGAATCTTTTTAAAATGGAAATTCTGTGCAGTAGATAAAAGGAGAGGAGCCAACAGTTTGAAGCCACTGCACTGAGGGGGTACACCCTGGCTAAGACTCCTAAGGATGGTAGCAAGCACAGTCAGAGCAGAAGATGGCACCTCGGAGCCTCACCTTTTCACGTACGTGGAGGGAGGACCGAGGGCAGCAAATCCTCAGTAATAGCATGAAAGTGCCTGTCCTACCGGAACTACTGCTGCTGAGAGCCACTAAGGGGCCTTCAAAACCCCACAAGCTGGGGCGACATATCCAGAACCCAGACCTACGGCACGCCAACCACCCCGCTGACCCGGAAGGCACTTACCTCCTGAGGAAGGCTCGTGGCTCCGTGGGAGCACTGAGATCCGAGAAGAATCACTGAGGGCAGAGCAGTGCTACTGGATCCCAGTCCAGCTTCTTTAAACGGGGCTCCAGACCACTGTTGTCAACAGCGTACAGCAGAACATCAAATGGGAATGCCCCATGGAACAGTAAACCGAAATTTACTCGGCGACAAGACAGGGGACCCTCGCTTCACTCAACGAAGGCAAGGGGAGAGCATGCAGGTCACTGCGTTTTTTAAAGTAATTTAAAATGCACGAGGGTAGCTTAGCAGGTACAGGAAACCTAAGAGGAATCCTTTGCAAAGTCATCTCTCCCCCCTTTGATCTTGTGTATCAACCCAGGTTTTATTAGACGCATTATCAGTCAGGGGGCTCTTAAATGAGGGGCCCGGCCACCTAGGGAGCTCGTGAACTCTCTGGAATAGTACACACAACTTTGTGTGCACATGCATTCCTAGGGGGAGAGGGTCCAGAACTTCCATCAGGCTCTCAAAGGAGCCCGCGTTCCCTGACAGGTTAAGAGCCACTGCAATGACAGCTGTCTTTCCGTTACTCTATTTTCCCTACAGAGCTTTTGTCTACACCTTTTGGTAGTTAGAGGTGTTCATTCCAGGCTTTCAAATTGATGCACAGAGACAAGAGGAAGCATGGAGCACAGTCAACGTTTGGTTTCATGTTAATCCCCAAGGTCACAAAGCCCAGCCTCTCCATCACTTTAAACAGCGCCCACACAAAAGGGCAACACGGCCTGTGCCACCTCCTCCTCTCAGGGCACGGGGCAGGCAGACGCTTTGGTCCCCCAAGGCCCATGATGGATGCGGGCTACTGTACTGCACACACACACACACCCCTCCCCCCTGACAAGCAGGGTCTGACTTCCTCAAGAGCAGGCTGGACATAAAACAAATTAACGTTACCTCACCAGGCCAGTAGGGTAACACTCTTTCTGTATTCTGAATCATTAGGGTTCCTTGTCCTTTGGCCCACGAATAAGATAAGCCTCCCCTGCCAAGCACTCAGTCTCTAAACACAGGACTGTGGACTCAACAACTGCAGCATGAGGCCAAAGCCAGACGTCCACTTAGAACCCACACCGCCCCTGAGCACGACAGCGAGGCCCCCATCTGGGGCCTCCCTCTCGGGTGAGGGTCAAGCAGATGGCAGGAGCCGTACAGATTGTCCGGGCCTGGTGCAAGCTAACAGTCTGCAGTACTTCCTACGTGCCAGACACTGACAACTTTAGGAAGCAGGAACCACTATCCTCACTCAGAGACAGGAAGGTTGGCAGAGGCCGAGTAACTTGCCCCGAGCAGAGCTGGTGGGCAGCACGGCCTGTACTAACCCACTGCCCATCCCACTCCCGATGAGATACAGCGGGCAATGCCAGCTTCCAACCCTGGGCTCTAATGCATGCTAAGCTCCTGCACAAAGTGGGCAAACGGATGCCGTGACACAGAGACACAAGTACACATCACCCCCCACACAGCCACCTACCCATAATTCCTCCAACTGCACTTCTATCAAACAGCAGCACCACAAAACCGCAGCCTGAACTGTCCCAAAAAGTTTTCCACCACATATAAGTCTATTTTCTCTAACTCACAGGAAACAAATTAATGGATACATACTTCAATTAACCTTTACTTCCTATCATTTGGTTTTTTCACTTTTGGCGTATTTATACACTAAGATAGTTCCTGATAAGCACAAAACCATATATTTAAGTACTCCAGATAAGTCTGAGGACTTGAACCAAGCAGTTAACCCCTGCAGCCTCCATCCACTCAGCCTCGCTCGAGTAGCAGCACGCCCCACTTGTGCTGACACCTCCCTCGCTGCTGCCCGGCGCCACGCAGGGAGGCGCTCGTGTGACAGCCTTTCAAGGTGGGCACCGGCCACCCACCCCCTACAGAGCATCAGCTGCTGGGAATCTGTGCAGCCATCTCAGTCTGTGAGGCGGTGGGATGAGCAGCTCTGGAGGGACGTCACAGCTCACAACTTTGGTTCACAAGGGGGAAAGCACCCGCACGGCTTTCACTAGCTTTCTGCTTCCAGTCACAGTGGGAAGTTCACCAAACCATGCACAGACTAAAAACTAGCGATACTGACAAGTTGTGCCTTTAGGACGAACCTCACGAAAGAGCTCCACAGACAGAGCATTAGTTGCAGAGGCGACGTGAAATGAGCTGGCACTGCTCCTTCAGCGCAGCTTCTGCCCACCAACTTGACCTGCCTTCCCACCCCAGCGGGGCGGCCACAGAAGATGACTGAGACCACAAGTGCAGGTTGTACAGGTTTATTTTTCCAATACCACAAGAGACATACAAGAGCAGTGCTTTCCCTGGCAGCCCCACGGACCAGACCAGTTTCAAACTGTGCCCTAGAGTGGCCACAAAGGTCACAGCAGAAGGAAGAAGAGGATCAAACAGGCTTGGGCCTCTGCTCCCCGTCTTTGGTAAACAGACTCTGAAAGTTGACAACTTGGACTCGGCCAATACCGCACTTAAATCACCACATCATTGCCAACTTCTCACGCATGCTTCAGGTGACAGAAACGCCACACTGGATGAAATGGGGGGGAAAGAAGGCCTTTCAGATGATATCAGACTTGCTGAAGTCATATCAACTTTATACTTCATACAGAAGCACTCACACAGGGAGATCTAACTAAACAGGGAGGACTCAACTGCAACGGTCGAGGCAGGAAGCAGGGTGAGGGAAGACAACCGTGGAGACAGCGATTTGCTGGAAATGTGTTGGGAGAGAGGCAGGAAGCAGGCATGGCTGTTTCTTCTCCAGCCTGCTGTCAAAGGTATGTCAAAAGGAGCCCTATGGCGCCAGGAAAGCATGGTCCCAGGTATTGCTGACAAGCGGTGACCCTGGAGCCAGGTCTGGAAGGCCCACCTAGGGGCTGCCCAGGGCACTCACCGTTGAATCCAGAAGCACTTAACACTGGTGGTGGTGATTTGTCACATATGACAGTGAGCAGCCAGTGGAGGTTGGAGGAGGAGAGATGTGACGAGCAAGACGCATTTGCTCAGAAGCGTGCGGGCGGGCTGAATGTGGCTCTGCGGGCTGCAGCAGGTCCACCAGGTGTCCCGTGACAGGGCACCGGGCCAACCTGGCAGATCACAAGTCAATCGTTCCACCCTCATGTCGAGTGGAGACACGCAGTGGCTCTGACACAGGTGGAGAGAAGTCAATCACACCACTTTAATGCAATGATGCCGAGGACATAAAATAAGAGACGCTCATGTTCTCTGTACAATACATCCATTTACAGAATTGGCGAGTACTGTGTACAACATATAAATACATGATAAAACATTAGAGGTGCATAGAGCATACTTACAGAAGCCAAAAAGTTCACTTTATACATCCAAGGATAGAGTTAAAAATATAAAAATAAGAAACACACACTGCTTTGAAATGTAAAATGACTTTCACATACACAGGTGCGTACACAGGGAGATGCCCACTCCCATAGAGTCCAAAGTGATGGAGAGTGTGTCAAGCAGAAGAATTCACCTGCCAAACGTCTGGACATCTGACTTATAAGGTCTACAGATAGCATTTTAAGAGGAAGGACGACCCTATGCCCGACCCCATTGTCCAAGCAGATCTATCCACGGTTCCAAAAGCTCCTGTGGGCCAGCAGACTGTACTGAGACAGGAGTCCCAAATTTGCTTCAGCAACAGAACCAAAGGTCAAACTGGCTCCGTCAACTGGCAAATGACTGAACTGTGACCCTGAGGTCAGCAGGTGCTTGAGCCCCCTGGTGGGCACTGCTGGGAGTAACTTTAACCTTGGCTGGCTTCTTCCCCATCAACTCTCCAGACAGAGTAGAAGGAAAGATGGCAGGGAGGGCACCAGGGGGCCAGTGGAAGACTGACATTTCTACTCAGTTCAGGTAGGTTAGTTCCCTTGGTAGAGAACACAACCTTCTTCAGTTTCAAGTCCCTCTGGGTGTCAGGCAGGCTCCCCACCACGCCACACCAGACTGTCTGTCTGAGAGCTCGGGCTGGCCGGCCGGCCTTGGGCAGCCCAACAAGTTGCCCTGCAGAAAACCCTTCCAGCGAGACCAGAAGGGTGAGTAAGTGACAGAGGGGCTTTAGCACTATGAATTTTAAGGAGAAGCAAGAGTGCTCCCGCCTAGAGAGAGAGTCTGTTATATCAACGATATTCTGTATACAGATTTAAGGTCAATCATTATCAAAATACACACACTAAATATACAACTTTTCCCATGGCCATAATTTATTATCTCACCACAAGGCACAATACACAGAGCTTTGAGGGTCCAATACAGTCATCGTGACAGAATGCACCACAGCCCTGGCACATGATCATGGCTTTCAGGCTGCACGCACACTGGAGCGAGATGCTTTCCACCGTGCTGCTGTCGGTGAACATTTGTAAGGAGAGTGATGCACTGTGGCTCGCACCAAAGTTTGCTTTGTGGCTCAGCTGCACCACACTTCCAGCAAGGCCTCTGGGAAAGGCGGGGGAGCTGGAGGGATAATTAAAGCTGGTGGAGCTTAGCTGGAGTTTGGAAAGCTTTCCATAAAATGCCTGTTTGATGTTGAGTTGGGAGGGGATGGAAGAAGGCTCCAGAGGCTGACTGAGCCCTTTCCCAGGCTCTCGGGGTAATTTCCAGAAGGGCAGGTCAAGGACAAAGGGCATCCCTTGCAAGTGATCCACCAGCTCTCGAGTACCAGGCCCAGCTGCATTTCTGTTCTCTGCATTCGCCTTGAGAGGGCTCCCCCCAAAAGTCTTCTCGCTCTTGACACTGCCAACAGAGGCCGGCGGTGGCTTCGGAACCCAGTCTTCCCTGGCCGTCTGTACCCCACCAGACACGGAGTTTTTGCTTGGCCCCAACTTCCTACTAGGAAAACCGGGAGGGGCATCGGTTGGCAGTGCCGTTGGTTCCACAGGCCTGGGGCACTGAGGCACTGCAGCCCCATTCCCAGAGCCGAAGAGCTTCTTCCCTTGGCCTCCAGCACTGTTCTGATCACCCAGGGCCCGGCCTGTCTGGTCCGGACCCAAGGAGATCACATTTGGAGATGAGAAAGGGGCTCCCGAGGTAGTGAGATTTCCTGGACTTTTGCCTGGGGCGGTACTTGAATTACCGCACTGGGGCAGGTCACCGGCTTCCTTCTGATCTTCGAAACTACAGGGAGAGAACCGCTCTTTGGACTCTACTTCCACTCTCCCAGAGGCAGCTGTTGGATTTGTCACTGGACACAGAGAGTCTAAACTTGGGACTGTCTTGGAAATCTTTTGGGGTGCTCCAGGAGCCTGAGCGGGCTCCAGCCTGGCAAGACCAGTGCTTGCTTCACGGCTCTCAGGCAGGAGCGGCTCCTTCAAAGCTCTTAAAGAACTGGGGCTGCTCCTGCCAACCATGCAACTGCTTTTCCCAGGATCTTGCAAAGGTCCCATCCCCAAGGAGCCACTGTAGCTCTGCTCTTTCGTAAGTGGGAGTCGTGGGGGTTCGGGTCTGCTGCCACCGAGGGCTGGAGGAAGAACCTTTTCTAGGGGCAAGCTGCCCTGCAGCAACTTCATCACGAGTGGGTTGGTGACCTCAACTGAGGACTCAGGCCTGCCCAGTGACACAGGCCGTGGCTGGTACTCGGTACTGGCTAGCAGCAGGGAGTCTGGGATCTTTGGGGGGACTGCACAGACGCGAGACACCCAACTCTGAGAAGCAACCATCCCTTCTGTCCTTGTAACCAGATTCGGGTCACCATCCACCTTGGAGAGTGAGGCAGAGCAGTCCCAACCATGTTTCTCATCCTTGTCCACCACCAAGGATCTCTTCATCACTGTGGCTTCACTAGCGTCAGCCTCACTGCTGTCCTCAGAGAGAAGGCCTTCAAAGTCAGAGGCTGTGTCTGTGGACTCGCTGTGAGGACTCAGTGCTTCAGAGTCTCCATTGATTTTCAGCTTTTCAACTTCCACCTGTTTGCAGACACTGCCAGTGCTGTCGATGCCCCCTCGAGACAGCACCGTCCAGAGTGAAGGAAAGTCAGCAGGGAGATGTAGACCCCCCTCAGCTGTCAACTCCTCAGGCGACGCAGGAAGGAGGGGAGCAGCATTCCCCCACTCTTCTCCCGCGTGGGGCTCAACAGCTGGGATGTTTCCTCTGGAGCTGAGTCCAGGCTGTCCCGCCGCCTCGTCGTTTGACAGGCTAGGCCTCCAAGGGGCAGCACCATCGGAGGCAGGAGCCTCGCTTTTCAAGTTTTCTTGTCTAGTAGCACTTTCCCTCACGGGTAGGCATGAGTCACCAAGTCCTAATTCGTCATCAAATTGTCTGTCCTGCAGGCAACCAGCCAATGACGATTCAGGGGTGGAACTGGGGGTCATATTCACAGGATCCTTCATGGTGGGATTACTGTCTAAAACCTGGCCAGTTCCTTCTTCTAATACAACATCCCTCGCTAGAGACTGAATAGGACCATTCTCTGGGGGAACAGTGGGTCCTCGCTCCTCATTATTCCTTTTCCAGGACGTGGTACCAGACTCACATTCAGTTCTAACATCCAGAGGCAACGCAGGTTGCTCAACTAATCTCTCAGGTGCTGGAGTTTTGGAGGATAGTGGGGGTAAAGCCTGGCATGGCTGGTCCCCAGTGGGAGCAACGGGGAGCTGGGAGGCATCTTCCAGCACACTTGTGAGGACATCTGGAACCCTCTGTAGTGTGCAGCTCTCCTCCTTTTTGAGAGAAGCCAGGTCCTCTCTCCTGGCTCTGGATACGGCAGTTCCAGCCTGGGTATGCTCCCCGTTCAGAGGACAAGGCGGCAGTAGTTGTGCTCGCTGTAGATCTGACGCACACTCTCCAGGAGTGCTTGGGGCTCCTCTGGACTTAGGGTGGCCACAGGCCTCACCACCATCACCACTGCTGCTGCCTCTGCCACCTCCCTCATCGGTGGCCCCGCCGCCACCTCCACCCGGGCCACCCCCCCCTCCGATGGCAGTGGCAGCCTCCTCTCGATGGCAGTGGTGGCCTCTCGCCCCTCGGACCTGCAGAGCACGGGCTTTAATGTCTGCGAGGGTCCTGGCGCCAGTCCAGCCCCGGCAGGAGGACTCCGTGATGGGGACGATGCGGGGGCATATCTGGTAAGTGGGCTGACCTTTAACCACCCAGGGTGGTTTGATACGTGAAAGTTGAATCTGCAAGAGAAGAATCAGAAAACAGTTTTAATTGACTGGGTGACCTGACCTAGGAACTGAAAAGCTAAATTGGGACTCTAGTAGCTTAGGGGTTATGGCCTAGAGAATCAAATCATTTTCTTTAAAAATGAAATAATCACAGTAAAATGGCTGTCCATGGCACCACATCACTCTAAGATTCTGCTCAAGGGCTGTTCCATGCCACATTTCTAAATTTAATTTCGGGTGGGACTGCGTTAGTCACTACACAAAGATCTAATACCACCTAATAAAAGATTTAAAAATCCCAAAGGATTTTGACCTCTAGAGATAATTTCAACAGAGTGAACAAAACAAGTGAGGAAGAACAGAACTTCATCCCCTGATCGTCAAGTCCGTCTCAAGAACGGCTCTCTTGAGGAAGGTTCTGCACTCCCACACAATTAACACAAGGGCCCAGGGCCTTCTGTCCTGCGAGCGTCTCCACAAATCTCCTGACCCTCACAAGGAACCTGGCCCCAGGGCAGCCAGGGATCAAACAGCGTCCTACCCGGATGGGCGGGACTTTGGGCTCCTCTTTGGTGGGCTGTGGCTTTTCGGTGTGAACACTTTCAATTGTGTTACGAAAGGACTGACGATCTTCAAGCCGGGGCTTCTTTTCGGGAAAGGATGCAGAGGCTGCCTGCTCAAAGGATTTCCTCTTCTGATCCTTGGGTTCCTGGTCCACAGTCTCCTGAGGCAAGCTGGGAATTCTGTCTAGAGATGCAGAGGCACGTGCCAGGTCATCTGGATTGGTCTGGATCCGGGAAGCCACAGGTTCCGCTGGGAATTCGGGACTCTCTGGGTTTGATGCTGTAGATGTGCCTGGCCTGTGGGGACTGCCCACCCCTGCTGAGTCGGTCTTCGCCTCCCCGTCCTTGAAGAGGGGCGTGTCTGGTGCCACAGACTGTGTGTCTTTAGCAATCCCTGCTTGTTCTGGCTCCTGTTTTTTGTACAGATTCCTTCTGGCTCTGGTTCGGAGATCTGGCCGAGAGCGTTTCTTGAAATGCCCATCTCGCTGCCGAGTGGCTGGACCACGCTGTGCCCGTGCTGATTCTCCTGGGACATGCAAGTCACTCTTGATTTCAGCCTCCTCCTGGCCCACATTCTGCTGCAACGACTCTTCTTTGGTCAAACCCAATCTGCAAACCAAACTCACACCATCAGTTACAGGGCAGAGAGCATGTCGGTCTCATTTTTTTGAATAATAAATACACACCCAGATATTAGATATCTCAGAACAAAATAAATCTGCATGTTGCATAACAGGGACCATAGAACAACCCACATTAGCTGCCCTATGAATGGCACTAAGCTAAACGAGCTGAGTCACTGCAAACTCCACATTCTCACCCAACGTATTAGTGCGCATGACTTTGAGAACGTCTGCTTCTATTCACCCCCAAAAGCCCAGACCAGGAGTCACAGCACCAAGTGCCTTACTTCTGTCCATAGTAGTCTTCAAAGAACTTTTCTTTCCATTGTTCCACCTTCTTTTCCTTCTCCATTTCCTGTCGTATCCTGACTTGCATCTCATGAGTGAATTCGCCTAGAGAGAAATAAAACTTTTCAAGTGTGTGCATTCGGGATATTAATGTCCATATTAGGGAAAGCCAAATCTGCAGTGCTACCATGTCAGGAGTTTTCAAAATACATGTGACTTCAGTGATCTTGGAGACTGTTTTTAACCCTCACCATCCTCTTCAAGCTGGCTCCTATCTCCTCCAGAGGATCGCTCACATCATGCACTTACTCAGGACAGAACTAACACATCTATTATAAGGGCAACGTACTCCTCCCTAGGGTAATCAGTCATTCAACAGCAAGCATCACACTGATCAAAAAGCAAAACAGGGGCCCGGCCCCGTGGCCGAGTGGTTAAGTTCGTGCGCTCTGCTTCGGCGGCCCAGGGTTTCGGCGGTTCAGATCCTGGGCACGGACACGGTACCGCTCATCAGAAGCAGCGTCCCACATGCCACAACCAGAAGGACCCACAACTAAAATATACAACTATGTACTGGGGGGATTTGGGGAGAAAAGGCAGGAGAAAGAAAAAAAGCAAAACAAACAAAAGAACCGTTCTTACTCCCCATGCAGAAAAAAGTTAACATAGCAGGCTGCCTGCTGATCCTTAGAAAGGCCTGCTTCCAAGGCTGGCCCTTGGCTGACATCTGGGAACTTGGATTTGGGAGGGTTTCCAATCCCCTAACTGATAGGAATGGCTCACTGCGCCTAAACTGCTTATGCAAACAAGATGGTTTACGCTGAGCACCTGCTTTTCTTTGGGGACTCTGGAATTTGGGTATGTGCCAGGCAGAGTCTTCCTACACGACCAGCTCCCAGAAAAAACCCTGGGCACCACGTCTACAACGAACTTCCTCGGGAGACTGCATTTCACGTGTGTTGTCACAAGCTGTTGCTGGGGGAACTGAGAGCATCCTGGGTGACTCCACTGGGAGAGGGCCTCAGAAGCTTGCTCCTGGTCTCCCTGGACTTCACTCCAGGTGTCTTTCCCTTTGCTGATTTTGTTCTGTATTCTTCCGATGTAATATATCATAGCCATGAGTATGACTATTTACTGAGTCTTGTGACTTGTCCCAGTGAATCGCTGAACCTGGAGGGAGTCTTGGGGACCTCCAAATACACTCCCCATGTAGCTTCCCCAAAAAATTAAATTGAGAGAAGCCAACAAGCAAAGACAGAGCATCTGGTGGAACTTAACGTGTAGGTCAATGCCACGGCACACTCTCCTCCACTCATGCAGACAATGCCATGATTCCTGGGAAGAACAGGAGTTTCCAGTGTTTATGATGAAGAGGCGTTCGGATGGATAAATACACACAAAACAAGGCAAGCCCCTATGCTCTGTACCTTCCTCAGAGCTACAGGGCAGACTAACACCCAGCACATTCATTAGTACTGTGAGGAAAGTCTGCTTTATACTAAACATGCCTTAAAAAACAGAAAGTGATTGGTGAAAAATGTGTTTGGGTTTTACAACCCAGGAGACGAGAGACACCACACATGGCAGGCACCTCTCAAGCTATCTGAGATGAGAATGTCTACTTACCATCAGCCAGGCGTTCCCGCCAGCTCTGAGCCGCATGGGTGAAAAACTCGTTATTCAGTGCACTGCTGCTGAGACGCAAAAGGCCATCTGTCCCAACCTGGAAGGATCAAGGCAAAAAGCCAAGGAAGAAACTTAGAAAGAGAACAGAAGCGTGCCCAGAGAGAAGCACAGAGGAGCTTCCCCATCTGTACCTGTCTGTCCACTTCAGGCAGGAGGAAGAGGAGCTGCTGCTGGAAGTGGGACGGCAGGGCGTGGAAGGTCCGAGAGTTTATCAGAGCCCGGAGGTTGGTGTTGACGAGAATGGACCCAGGCGTCTCAAAATCTATCTCTTCCCCTCTGTTGCGCTTCATTTGACCTGTGATTTTTGAAGCAGGAAGAAGCAAGGTCTATTTCCAGCTTCCTAACACAAAAAGGCAAATGCTAACTGAGACAAAAACTTTGGTGGCAGCATCCAAGCTACCCAGAACTTCACTGCACACAATCTGCTCAATGGCACAGTCCACCCTCACCTAGACATTACAATTATTCTTCCCAGGTTACTGCCATTGGCACCAAACCTAAAAGAACACTTGGGCTTGCACCCTCTCTGAGAAGACTCTGTACCATGCTGTGTCACAGCCTGCAGAGGACACTCTTCCCACAGAAAACGCAGGGTCAGACTCTGAGCTTCCCTCCGAAGCCGGAGGACAGGCTCCACAAAGCCAACTGGAGAAATGATGAAAGTTGTCTAAAAGCGAAGCTAGTTAGTGCGCTATAGGAGAATCGCAGAAGCCTTCTGTGAACAGGCTTAAGAGGTATCATCTCCACGCAGAAAGGTACTAAGGGTTGTGTCAAGCCCACTGAAACATCAATACCTCTCACAGAAGCCTCTGCAAATGTTCCTTTACATCACTAGGAATACAGACCCGTGAGACCTTCGATCGAGCACTGCCGATGGATTAGAAAAGCAGCAAGACAGCAAACCTAGTTCCCACCTGGCAATGGTTTATTCTAATTTTCAGAAGCCAAAGCCAGTCTTCTTAATGGTTTCATGTGGTCCATCTACAAATAACCAGCATGTGGGCTTTGAGAAATAAACCCTAAAATAACAAACAGCATACTAGCCTGGCAAGTAGCCCAGCCGGGGGTGGCAAGTGCACACTACTGAATTTGTTTGCATCCCCCACATTCAACACAGGCTTCCACTCAACATCCTGACCAGGCATCTGACAGAGACTACAGATGCTGAGAACAAACATGGCAGGATGCTACCAAAGAAAGAAAACTTTGGATGCTGGAATTCTTCACTGAGAAGCTCAGAAGTAATTTTCACCTCCTCGGAACACTTACTATGCAGTACGAAGGCAGGTACAGGCTAGGCCCTTACAGGGACATATAAGGAGCACCAGCTCTGCCCAAAAGTTCTCTCAAGTCTAGCAGAGAAGATCCACATGTGAAATAACCAAAATACAAGGTAAAGGCAAATCAAAAATAGAGGGCCACCCAAGAAGTAAAAATAAACTGGTAAAGGAAGTGGAGCAGAAGACATCAGCTTCTCACTAGGCCTGCAGGGCCCCCTTTACAGGCAGAGAAATGAGTGCCAAGCCACTCACCTGTGGCCGGCTTCCGGAAGCCTCTCAGGAGCGGGGCAGGGTCCCGGGCGACCTCGGCCTGGCCACGAATAGCAGCGCTGCCCAGGGCCAGAGAGCCGCTGCTGCTGCTGGACAGGCTGCCGCTCTCGCCATCGGCGTGGCGGCCCGAGAACCCTGAAGGCACAGCATTCCACTGGTCAAAAGTATCACCCGCCGCGCCCACGGCTCTCAGCAAGCTTACTTCTCCCAGCTCTCCCTGAGACGCTGCCAGCAATACCGGGCGCTTCCACGGCCCAGCCTTGGGCTGTGAGAGATCACGACCTCATGGTCTGGCTTTAAAATACCACGTAAGAATGCCAAACCGCCATCTTAGCTTGTATAGCACTGCACGTTTTACAAAGCACCTGCACACTCCTTCCTCGGACCCTCACAACCGTCCTGTGAGGCAAAGGGGAGGGCGTCCAGCAGAGCCCAGCACTGGAACCTAGGGCAGACACCACTACAGCGTGCTGCCTGCCAGACGAGGGTTGCCTGCCTCTACTGGCATCACACTACCTAGGTCAGAAACTGCTGCCAGAGGGAGGCAGGCCCAGGACCTGAGGAAGGAGCATCACGACCGAGAGTTTACACATACCTGATGCAGATTCCACGTGGGCCCCGTTTACCTTCAGAGGAGTCAGCACAACTCGAGGCAGCATCACCCCGGTCTTTTTCTTTTGCTTGTTAGTCTATATTCCCAGAGGGAATACAAAAAGAGCCTGAGTCACCTGCAGGGCCACAAGAGCAGTCCCTCTCGACTATGTCTCCACCCACTGTCTTGTAAAACAGTTTGTATCGGCACGGGCAGGTAATGCCGATAGCAGCACTGACTAATGTTACTGAGCCAGGTGCTGGCCACTGTGCCAAGCATCACCCCGAGCTGAAAAGAATGCACTGATATCCCCATTTTACAGATAAGGAATTGGCCCAAGTCTAATGCTGGTGAGCGGCAGGGCCCTAATTCACACTGCTGACTCCCAAGCTCGTGTTCTCCCGACTCTGCACTATGCTCTACTTCTCCCTGGATGTTGCCATGTTTATCAAGTAAGAATGAACAAAATTATCCAGCGTGGTAAGAAGAAAAAACAAATCACTGTGCTCTCACATCTACTACCCACCTTTCCCAGGGCCCACTTTTCAAAGGTACTAACAGGAGGACACCAAACTGATTTTCTTCACTCTTCCAACATGCTCAGAGTTAACTGCAGAAGGAGGAGTCCTGTCTTGTGCCTGGCCTCACTTATCCCCCAGCCTAGTAACCAACTCTCCTCTCTACCTGTGAGGAAGCTCTGTAGCTGTCCCTGGGATTGGAAAGAGGCCGACTCTGAGATTCTGTAGAACAGGATGCATTTGAAGATGTTTCATCAAGAGAAACTGGAAGAGATGGAAATAAAGGTTAGTCCCTAGCAACTGCCTGTGGCTCTTCGCTCATCTTGTTAAGGTACTTACCGTCATTTTCACCACTCACAGTGCTGGCTTCATTAGACCCACAGCTCTCCACATCAGCTGTGTCCTCGGGCTCCTCCCCCTCCGCTGCAGCCGGATTACGAGACCACTGCAGGGCATCCTTCTGTGACAGCAAGGCACAACTCATGTGAGCAAAACCCTACAAATCCTATCAGCACAGCAGTCATTCCTCAATGTGTACTGCTTTTGAAGAAGGATTTGAAATACTGGTAAGTTCCTATCCCTCTCTAACTGACCTCTTTCTCAGTAAGTTCTTTTCATACATACATCCAGAAAGTTAGATATAATTTTGCTTTCAATCAGTCATTAAACATTTATGGGGTGCCTCCTATAAGTTACAGCATGCTAGCTCCTGGGGTGGCGGTGGGGTATAATGAGGGGAAATCAGGGCCCTGCCCTCAAGGAGCTCAACTGAGTAAGGGAGAAAATCAAACCTATCACAGTACAAAAAAGACAACGCGCTGTGGCAGCCTGGAAGACAGGGCATCTAACTCATTGAGTTGGAGGAAAGAGAGCATGGAGGTACACAAAGTACATAAGGATCACGGAGGTAACGTTTCCAAGGAGATGTGTTGCCTGAGCTGAGTTTTAAAAGAAGTTAGCTAGCAGGCAGACGGGTTGCAGTGGGGAGACAGGAGGGAGTTCTAGATAATGCGATGAGCAAATATGAAAGAACATTCCAAGCTCAAGGAAACCGTGGATTTTCAGTAGGCATATGGGGAACTGGATATAAAAGCAGGCTCCAGAGAGAGCAAGAGGGCAGATGACGATCACGACACTGTGCTGAGGGATTGGGATGTTGATTGTTTGGGAGTCTCTGAAGGATACTAATCAAGGGAATGATTTGAGTTATAGGAATTTCATTCTGTTAACCACGGGAAGTCTGGAGGCAGGAAGAAAAGTTAGACTGTGACAAGAAGTCCAACGAAACTAATGAAGATCTAAAGTGAGACAGTAGAAAAAAGGCTGAAGTGAAGAGGAGAGCCCATCTCTAAAATCCATCTCCTAACAAACAGTCTTTCCAACAGGATCTGCTGTAGTGTCTCAAAACTAAACTCCACCCATCCCCAAGAGAAACAGGAGCTACCTCACACCCCAAAACTAGGGGGAGAATGAAATGAATTAGGGGTTGGAGAGAGAAGGAACAGGGATAAGCTGGGGTGAGGACGTCTTCTTAGAATAGAAGCATGTGAAGAAGAGCAAGTAAATCATGATTCTACTTGTTAGAAACATACCAGAAACTTATAATGGAAATCCACAAAGTTCTAACTCATCCTTTGACCCACTATATTGTCTTTATCAATTTATTTTCATTAATATAAGCTGAAATCATGCTGACTTTAATAAAAAAGAAAATGGTTTTTTGTCTTTATCTCTTTTGCCTACTGGCCATAAATTCTACTCAGAATCAAAAGCTAAAGAATATTTTTAGTATTAATCTTGCCCTTACACTTATTCACTGCCACATTCTTGGAATGATGCAACAAACATTCTCTGAATTGCACAGGCCAACAAAGATAAAATACTCATAAATTAATAGAGGAGGTCTATTACATTGGCAAAACTGACCCCAAAACACCAGTTGTGGTAAGAGTGTGGGAAAATTATGCATACACTGTCAGTGTGAGTGAAAATGGTATCAAAAGGTTCATTCACTGCCAGTGGGAAAGTAAACTACAAGCCAAAATCTAAAACATGTATACACCTTTTAACCCAACACTTCTATTTCTAAGACTTACATAGGACATGAAAAGCATTAATCCTTAAAAAGGAGAAAATTAATCAATTGAACATTAAAATTAAGATCCTCTGTTCAGAAAGACACTATCAATGGAGTAAAAAGGGCACGCTACCCACAGAATTGGAGAAGACATTTACAACTCATATAACAATAAAAGAACTTGTGTCTAGACTACATAAATCAATAAGAAAAAGGCAACCCAAAAGAAAAATAGGCAAAAGACATGAATTAGGCAGTGCACTAAGGAGGATAACTAAATGGTTATCATTCACATGAAAAGGTGTTTAACCTCATTAACTAATAAAGAAGACAAAATTATGCAAATTAAAACCATGATGAGATATCACCACATCCATAAGAATGGCTAAAATTAAAGTTTAACAATACCATGTAGTGCTAATGAGGATGTGGACCAGTTACACTGAAAATGGATCCAACCACTCAAGACTATAGTTCGGCATTATCTGGTGCAGCTGAAGGTACAAACATCCTTTGACCAGCAATGTCAGTCCTAGGTTTGGATTCCCGAAAGAAATACATGCATCTACACATCAGGAGGCACCTTCAGACGTTCACAGCAACATCACTGGGAACCTGGACTATAAACAACCAAAGTGCCCATCGTCAGGAGAATCAATACATGGTAGTACACTCAATAAATGGATATTATACAACAATAAAAAATGAGTGAACTACAGTTCCTCACAACAATATGGATGAATCTTAAAAACAAAATGTTAAATGAAAAAATCCAGACACAAAAGAATGCATAATGTAATGATTCCATTTGTAAAAAGTTCAAAAACAGGCAAAACTAAACTACAATGTTGGGGATGCAAACACAGGTGGGAAACAACAGAAAAAGCAAGAAAATAACCTGCGTAAGGTCAAGATAGCAGTTACTGTTAGAGGCAGGAAGGGAGTTGTGATTGGGAAGGGGTATGGGGGGCTCCTGGCTGTTAGCCAGGTTTGACGTCTTCATCTGAGTGGCAGCTACAAGGGTGCTTATTTTATAATAATTAAGCTGAACATGTGTGTTCTATGAATTTTACTGTTTCATATTTCTACAATAAAAAAGTCTAAAAACAATTACAGTATTTCCATCAAGGGACACTGTCATAGCCAGCCATTTGAAATAAAGCTGCAGAATATTTAATGATAAGAGAAATGTCGATGATGCAGAAAGTAAGTGAATTAAGCATTTAAATTCACACAGTACGATTCCATCATCTGTTTTAAAACATAAAAATTGAGTGAACATGTTCACATAGACAAAAAAACAAGAGAAATTTCCCTAAGGTATTAGCTATCACCAACTTTATATAACAGAGTCATGAGTACTTTACTTTTTGATTTGGGGTATTTTTTACAATTAATGTGTATGTTTTTTGTAATAAACAAAATAACATTTAAAAAGAAGAATTCGGATGCCAAATGCTTCACCAACAATTAAGTCAAATTTTCTTCCTCTGGGTCCCAGAGTCTAGGGAAAACCTAATGCTGAGTACAAATCTTATCAATTAAACAAACAGAAATACTGCCCACTTGTTTGCAATTCAACCAACTCTCCAACGTTTCTAAAGCCATATATTTTTGGTAAAAAGCAAACAGGAAAACAAAGTTTTCAAAAACGAAACCATGATTTGCAATGCTAATTCTGCATTTTTAAAGATCATTAATCTTTCCATATAAACTGATATCATTAATTTTCCAAACATTAACCCTAGAATTTTGAGAAAAATGAAATGGGCTACTGAAAATTATAAGCAACAGAAAATATGCTCTAGGACTCAATAATTTTTTTGCAAGGATATTTTCCATCAAGACACTTTAAAAGAAAAAAATTAACAGGTAATGGGTGATCCTTCACTGAAACCTGAATGTAAAACAATGCTATAAAGGACAATACTGGGATATCTGAATGTGAACGGCATAAGTAGATGGAAGGGTGCATTAATGTTAAACTTTCTGAGTGTGATAACTGTATCATGCTTATGTCGGAGAATGCCCTCAGATTAATCTATACTCCCTGTGTCCTTTCCCCTATTCTTTTTAATTGAGGTATAATTTACACAGGGTGAAATGCACAGATTTTACCATCTGATGAATTCTGACAAATGCATAAAGATACAGGACATGTCCAACACCCCTAAAAGCTCCCTTGTGTCCCTTCCTGGTCAACCCCACTGTACACTGCCCTTCCCACCCCAATGAGACAACGGTTGTTCTGATTTCTACCACCAAAACTTCGTTTTGCCTGTTCTTGGTCTTCAAGAGCATATAAATGGAATCACGTACTCTTGAGTCTGGCTTCTTTCGCTCAGTCTAATGTTGATGAGATTCATCCCTGTTGCACGCATCAGTAGTTCAGTATTTGTTATTATAGAGTAGTAGTCATATACGATCATTTGTTTATCTATTCTCTTGTTGAAGGACATTTGGGTCATTTCCAGATTTTGGCTATTATGAATAAAGCTACTCTGTACAAAAGTTGTGTACATGTTTGTACACAACTTTTTATGGACATATTTTCATTTCTCGTGGGTAAATATTTAGGAGTAGAATTCCTGGGTATAGGATGGAAAATGTTTAACTTTACTTAAAAAAAAAAAACCGCAGAACATTTTCAAAGATTTCCATGGCCCACAGCACTGGATGAGAGCTCCAGCTGCTCCACACCTCACCAAGAGTTCGTGTGGTCAGTCTTATTCGAGCCATTCTAGGGGGAGTGCTGTGGTACCTCACTGAGGTTTTAATTTTCATTTTCCTGATGACTAAAGATATGATGCACTTTTTTAGGAGCTTATTGGCCATTCTCATATCTTTCTTTTTGAAGTATCTGTTCAAATCTTCTGTTCATTTTTTTAACTGAGTTGTCTTTTTTTATTATAGTTGTAGGAATTCCTTATTCTAGGATGCTTTTTAATATTAATCATGGGGATGTATTACTTTTACAAACAAATACGCTTTAAACACTTTTATTTGTAAATAATTTCAAATTTACAGAAAAACTACAAGAGCAAAAATAGTACAAAGAACACTTGCCATATACTTTTTACCTATATTCACCTATTAACACAAATAAATGTTTTAAAAATACATAAAATATATTAGTTTGACAAGGCAACTGGAAAACAGGCCAGTGATGAAAAAAATAAAGCCACCAGGATTAATAAACAAACCTATACTATTTTCCCTTAAGTCAGATGTTTCAAAAAATAAAAGGCACTGTGAATATAACAGCCCCAAATATGAATAACATGAAATGCTAAAATTTAAAGTGATGAAGTTCAAACTGCCCAAAATTAGGTTCTCAACTAAAAAAATATAAGCAAATCTCAGGTATGCCTTTCCTTTCTTTA